TTCTAACTGCAGCCTTACTTATGTATCTATAACTCAGCTAGCTGGCAAATGTAGGTATCTGAAAAAGCACTAACAGGTGAGCAAAGAAAAAATAATAAATTATGAGTGTGAAAACCAACTTAGGTGTGAGTTAAATGTTAACTACCATCTACGACATCCTCCTTTAGTAGAAGAACACTCTATGGATCAAAGAAGTAAGAAAAAAAAAAACATTTCAACAGGAAATGAAGTCCTTTAGGTCAGATAAGTTTAGATGCATTTAAATTTTTTTTTCCTCACTTCATCTCATGTTGGCGAGAACTTTATCTTGGGCAAACAGTGCCTTGCCTGAAGGCTGGGATTTGAAAGATGGTGTGCTGGAAAAACAAACATCTATGAGTTGGCCACATCAGGAGTCCAATTTTAGATTTTTACCAATCCTATATAGGAACAACTCATTATGAGTCAAAGTGGAGTGTTCACTTCTCTCTCCCAAGGCTCCAGGGGACTTCCCCAGGCTTCCCTTAACGTGGGGTTCAAATACGTCATTCACAGAAATGCACCCGGAGGACCAGCTTGGGTGGTACATGACTATTGTCATTGGTTTTTAAAGTTAGAATTTTGGGGAAAACTTTCCACATGGGTTACACTAGTTAGCAAACTAAGATCATCTTCCCAGTATAGAAATTACCACTTTTCCTGGTGGTAAATTATGAAGGGATTATATTGTATAAATCCTATAAATCCATTCCTGCTGCACTAGTAAATGGGAAGTTAAAGAAAAGAAAGAAAAGAGAAGAAAGAACGAGCCAGGCATCGTGGTACAAGCCTGTCATCCCAGCACTTTGGAAAGTTGAGGGAAGAGGATGGCAAGTTTGAGCCCTGTAACAACTTAGTGACACCCTGTCCCAAATGAAAAATAGCAAATAGGATCAGGATTACAGCTTAGTATGAAGGCTTTGGATACCGCAGAAGAAAAAGTTTGGCTGACTTAGGAAGAGTGCTTAATTTTTATTGAAAAAATTAAGGCAAACTAGTTGCACCACAAAAAGTTTTCTGAGGATAGGCGGGTGGGAGAGAATATGTAAGTGTTACTGTAAATTTCTTCCAGCTGTGCTAGTCTCTTGCCTGCCTGCAGTAGGCTCAGATTCTCTACCAGGGATCAGGGCCATTGTTAGGGGGCAGTTGTGCTGCATAAGGATCCCTCATACTGGGGATCGTCACGCCGATAGGCTAATCACAGCGGCCATCTGAGCTTTGCTGTTTTCATCTGGCAAACAGGACAATAGAAGTTCCACTCAGAGTTACTGAATGAACTATCAATGGGCTGTTTCATATAAGCAACTTAGATACTGTTAGTAACTAATAACAAGGTCATTGTCATTACCATACACTGAGTGCTTGGGTTCAAATCAGAAGCCCTAAATTTAAATCACAGCCTTGCTGCTTAGGGGGTGCCAATGGGCAACTGAATAAACATCTCTTAGTCTCAGATGCCCATTTGTGAAATAGAGATCACAATACATCCTGGGCCCCTAATAGAAGTTCAACAAGTATTTGTTAGTTCTTAGTTATCTAGGATTAGAGCCTTGGAATAGCAAAAGATGGCATAAAATATAGGCCGAGCCCTAGATTTTACCTAGATGTGATTTTATAGACAAAAGAAAAACTCCCCGAGATGACCTTGTTTCTTATTTTTTTCTTTCTCCTGAAAGTGGAAATCAGTCGCCTACTGTAGTTAATTAGGGATTCTTCATATAGTGTTGCTCATTAAGGTTAGTTTTACGCATGCTAAAGAAAAGTGAAAAATGATTAGGACGAGGTTTAGGTTCACAGGCGTAGTATGCTCATGGTATTTTTACATGTGTGCTATCGTGAGATGTATTAGAATCACACAAAGGGAGCTAAGTACCTTCCTTGTTTACTGTGGTCCCATACCCTTTGGAGTGTTGTGCTCAGTTCAAGGCAGTAGCTGCAAGGAATACTGACAAGCTAGGATATGTCTGGAGAATAATGGAAATGATGGGGATGAAAGTGGAGCTATCATATATGTAGAATGGTGCTCAAGAAGGTACGATATAGGGAAAATATAAGAACTGCCTTCTATTGTCAGAATGACTGACTTGTAGAAATTAGAACAAATTTATACAGGCAAAAGACAAGGGGGTATGTCTTAACTCAGCATGAAAAAGAAATGACAGAGCCAAGGAAAAATGGAATTGGCTATCTTAAGACACAGAAAGTGCCTTGAGAGGGAAGGCACTTAGTAAGAGAGCAGATGCTTATTTGTTGGGATTTTTATAGAAGGGCATTCTACATTGGGTGGGAGACTGTAGTATTTAGTCACAAACCCACTCTAGCAACCATGAATATCATGGAGTGAATGCTGTGCGCTAGTACCATAAAAGGTCTGAGGTAAAGCCTAATATATACGATAGACAAGTTCTTGTCCCAGTAAAATTTACAGTCTGACTGGAGAAATATAAGTAGAAATGCTAAGTGCTAGGCATTTAGAGGGTGA